ATAAACAAATACCAAACACTAGATGAAGACATATAATACATCACCCATCAGATACACTGTTATATTTAGCTGGATTGTAATGTATACCAGATGGCAAACAGGCAGCTCTAGGATGATTTCAGGCAATAGACATATTTTTCTCGGCCTGCACAGTGTTGGATGAGATTGTAGCCTAAACAGTTTGACTTATTTTTGAACATTGGAAGAATAGGATATTTTATATAAAATTCAGTTACATATATAAATGGCTTATTAAAAATACGTAAAGAAAAATAAAGGGGTAGCGCGAGGGAGTCCACGGTAATGTAACATTTCTTCATCTTGTATGTGGTGGTGGTCACGCAAAGCTACACATGATAAAGTTGTATAAAACGATACCAAAATTCAAATAAGAGCTTGTAAAACTGGTAAAATCTGAATAAGCTCTGTGGATTATACCAATGTTGATTTCCTGGTTTTGATGGTATACAAGAGTAATACAAGAGTTTACTATTGGGGGAGGCTGGGTAAAGGGGATACAAGACCACCCTGTAGGTTTCTGCAGCTTCGTGAGAGTCTATAATGATTTTAAGATAAGAAGTTAAGAAAATGTAAACAAGGCAAGAGGCTGCAACAACAGACTTCCATGTGGCAATAATTTGGAATATTGCAGCAGGTGCCCCTTTATACAGGGAATGGGAAGAAGGGAAGAAGGAAGGAAGGAGGGAAATATGAGAAGACATAAGAAAGGAAAGGAGGAAGACAATTTATAAACTCTACAGATAGAAAAAATATATATGTAAATGGTATAAAAAACAACTAATTACTTCAGAAGAAGAAGGAAAGAAGGGCAAAATAGCAATGACCAGTGAATAAAAGGGAGAACAATATCTGAAGTTAAAATGAATCAAAATATATCAAATCAAAATATTATGTACATTGGTAAAAAAATGTGAGATTAATGGCTGATGTCAGAATGGACATAAAAATGTAGATATAAGGCATTGGTAAGATACATATCTAAAACATAAGGACATAAAAATACTGAAAATTAAATGATGGAAAAATTATTCCAGATGTTAACCAAAAGAAAGCTGCTGGGCCTGTACTTATATAAATTCTGTAGTAACCTCATGAAAATTAATATAGTTCACCAGATATTATGTTAAAATTCTAAATTTTATGTACCTAAATTTCTTTAGCATATGTAAAGAATATTTGACAAAAATCTCAGAACAATAAATTTTTACAAATCCCCCACCTGAGGAGGAGATTTTAGCATACCTGTTTTTGTAAGTGGTAAATTAAGCTGATAAAAATGAGGAAAGAGAGTATTTGAATACCTAATTAAGAAGTCTGGTTTAAAAGACATATAACACCTGTAACTCATAATTAATGGGTACACAATCTTTACATATACACATGGAACATTTCAGAAAACTAACTATATGCTAGACTATAAAGAAAGTCTCAACAAATTTCAAATAATTGATTGCCAAACAGTTGACAAAAGAATGCACATACAATATGACACCATGTATATGAATTAAAAAATATGAACTATATATTATTTAAAGATACATGATTATGTAATAAAGATAGAAAGGCAAGAAACTAGTAAGCATCTGGGGGTCAGTGGGTAAGGAGGGATGGGTGGATAAGAAGGGAAAGTTGGATACTCAGGAGTCTCCCAAAGCATGTATAATGTTTTACTTCTAAAGCCAAAGACAGATGCACAAGTTTTCACTTTAGTATTGTTCACTCCCTCCAGTGTATCCCCAATATTTCACAATAAATTTTAAGACAGCAGCAAGGCTTTAACTTTCTGATTCACCACTAACCCACTGCTCCCCACTTTGACGGTGAGTTTAAATGAGCCAACATCGACTGAGCCAACATCCACTGTTGCTTTTCCCCAAAGTAGTACTAAGGAGAGAATAAAATACTTTTAAAACCTAGTTTATCTTTTAATAGCAACCCAAACCATTTACTCACTTTACCTGCTAGCACCCTGTATTTGAATTCATGGACACTAACACTAGTACAGAGGAGACATGGTACAGACATTATTGTTACTGTTGTTATTAACACCAGACAGTTCCCTGCATTAGGCTTAGACATTTGTCTCACGATTACATGAGGCCAATATAAATACAGAAGAATGAACAAAGAGATCTATAAAACCAAAGATCAGACATACCATTTATAATGGTTCTAAACTGCTTTGAATCCCTTTGTAATGAGAGTAGAAATGCTGATGCACAAGAAATTATAATTATTTTTGCTTATAATTAACATTGCTTTACTCATAATTGTTATACTTCAAGTTTATCCTCTCTGGCCTGGCAAATTAGAACCAGTGTTGAATAAATTAAGATAATAATAAAAGAAACCATGTTTAAAGCAAGGAAAAACTTTGGTGAACAGATATTATTGTGTTCATTATAGCATGTGTTCATTATGGAGGGGTTTCATCTCTTGTGTGACACCAGACAGTAAGTTCTGATCACCAAATGGCTTTTTCAGAGTGGTAAGTAAGCACATTGACTAGCTCCTAGAACAAACATTTGGGAAACAGTTGCTGTCAAATTAAAGACTAAGAGGATGTGATCTACAGACCTATGGATTCAAATCTTGAGTACAACTCTTATCTACTGCACCCTTGGCAAATGGATATTATTAAGGTAGTGTGTTGGTTGTGACCGTTGAATGAGGCTAAGGGCATACATTTATCCCACTTTCCATCTCAAATTTCATGAAAAGGCAGTGAAGTTGCATAAAAGGAAATGAATTCATAACTGTTTTTATAGAGAGGGGTTTCACTATTGGATTAGACAATTTGAAACACATACGGAAATTTGGACTGTAATGAATAGTGGAGGAAAAAAAGAATAGTGGAGGGATCTAGCAGCAATCTAGAAACATGGATAGGAGGAGACTGTAGCAGAAAGAGGAAACACTCTCCAGCAGAACCTTAGGGAGTCATCAAATATACAGGACAGGAGTAAGCCTAGACAAGGGTTGGGCATTTATGTCAAAAGCAAATGATCAGATCTTCCCACAGTGCATAGAGAGATTAGCCCCAAGATCAAGACTGAAGTTCTGTTTTCTAAAGAAATTGAACAATGTACTTATGGGCGGCAAGAACTTAAAGTAAACGTCTTATTTTGGCATAAGACAGGTGGTTTGATGGTCACAGGATGTCTGCATGCTCTGCACTCATTCAGGGCAAACTGAAGTATGTCAGTTGACATGTCCTCATCTATGAAATAGAACTCCTAGTCATTTCTTCTATATACAGGAACAGAGACCTAGACAATGCTATAGGAAATCAGGGTCAATAGCTAATATTAACACACATTCCTTAATTCATAGATATGAATTGAGAACAAAATCTGAACAGAAATTATCAGGAAGCCAAGAGCAAAAAATAGAGAAGTATCATGATGAACACACAGGAAAAATGATGCCAAAAGAAAAATAATTCAAGGATCAGAAAAATGCCTCTTAAAATCTATAGTGAAATCCTTAAATTCCAGAAGATTCTGCATTTAATAAAACAAGATCAAGCTTCCACTAAAAACAAAACTAAGTGAAATAAGTCAAGCAGAGAAAGACAATTATCATATGGTTTCACTCATATGTCGAACATAGGGAATGGGAAGAAATCAGAGAGGGAGACAAACCATGAGAGACTCTGGACTCTGGGAACCAAACTGAGGGTCACAGAAGGGAGGAGGGTGGGGGGATGGGGTAATCGGGTGATGGGTATTAAGGAGGGCACGTGTAGTGATGAGCACTGGGTGTTATATGCAACTAATGAATCATTGAACACTACATCAAAAACTAATGATATACTATATGTTGGCTAACTGAACATAATAATTAAAAAAAATAAAGTGTCTCATTGAGTAATAAAGCATTTATCACCACCCCCCAGTGTTGTTAGGACACTTTATAGCTGTAGCATATCTGTGAGAGAAATATTGTTTCCTGTCCACTTCACAGTTGGTTTATCTGTGTCTGTTATTCCAACCTGACGAATGGCCATGCGGATTCTCACTCTCCCTGTTAAAGCTAAGCTTTGCTTTCTCGGGAAGAAAGGAATCTTAATAAATACATAAAAAACCATGAAATGTATTTTCCACTGATTTAGGCATTTCTTCCCTTGCACAGTAAAGTTCTATAATTTGTATTTTTCTTCCTACGAATCTTGAACATTCCTTGTTAGGCTTATTTATAGCTATTTTATCAATTTGAGTCAACGAACGTAAGTTTTTCCATTATAATTCATAGATAATTATTATTGACTTTTTTATACTTATCTTCACTACTTTGTTGAACTGTGTAATTTTTTCTAAAAAAGTTATCTTATTGGTTGACTATTGTACAATTTTGCCTGCAAATAGTGACAGTATGTTCTTATCTCTGTTTTCTAGAATTTTTACACTGTCTTTCTTTTTTTATGGTTTAGTACTTCAGATGTGCTCTCCAGTATAACGTTAAATAGTACAAATGGTGAGAATATATAGTTTCTGGTTATAGTGTGAATGTTTCCAGTGCTTACCCTGCACACATATATTCTCTGGAAGTTTCAGGAAGATTTTTTTTATTGAGTTAAATGGTTCCTTTTTGTTTCCAGTTTGGGAAGTTTTTCTCTGTTTCTTTTCCTTTTCTTTTTTGAGAGCCACGTTTTATCAAATTCTTTAAAGAATTTTATTAAAATAATTATAATGTATTTTCTTTTAATATGTAAATGTGGTGAGTAATTTTATAGGTTTTCAAATGGTGACCCAATTCTTAGTTCTGATTTTCTCTTTAAAACATTTAAGCCATATTGCTCTTAAGAACTTCACTATATTTGATTTGCTAGCATTTAATTTAGTCTCTTTTTATATCGATGTTCCCAAATTGGACCTGTAGTTTCTTTTCTTGTGTGTTATGTTATGCTTTTAAATTATTTAAAGTTGTATGCATTATCTATTTTCTGCTTTTCTCACTCTAGAAGATCAACACAATCAATGGCTGATGGAAACTATACAAGAATCACAGAGTTTATTTTCATAGGCTCAAGGTATCATCCTCAGATGCAAGTCTTCTTTTTCTTGCTCTTTCTACTTTTTTACCTTGTTACCATGACAGGAAACTTGGGTATGATTATTCTCATCCAGATGGATTCCCGCCTTCACACTCCCATGTACTTTTTTCTCAGTCACCTGTCCTTTGTGGACATCTGCTTTTCGTCAGTAGTGGGTCCCAAGATGCTCAGTGACTTCTTTGCTGAAAGGAAGGCCATCTCCTTCTTGGGCTGTGCTTTGCAGCAATGGTTCTTTGGGTTCTTTGTGGCCATTGAGTGTCTTCTGCTGGCGTCCATGGCCTGTGACTGCTGTGTGGCCATCTGTAGCCCATTATTGTATTCCGTTACCATGTCGCAGAGCCTTTGCATACAGCCGGTGGTTGGACCCTATACTGTTGGGTTCCTGAGCACCATGACTCATACAACAGCTGCCTTCCGGCTTACCTTTTGCCGCTCCAACATTATCGATCATTTCTTCTGTGACATGTCCCCCCTTCTTTCTCTGGTATGTGCTGACACCCGGATCAATAAATTGTTGGTTTTTATTGTGGCTGGAGCCGTCCTGGTTGTCAGTAGCCTGACCCTTATAATCTCTTATTTTTACATCCTACTGCCATCCTGAGGATCCGCTCTGCAGATGGGAGGCGCAAGGCCCTTTCCACCTGCTCCTCCCATCTCACGACGGTGTCCATCTTATACGGGACTCTCTTCTTTATCTATGTAAGGCCAGGTGCATTTTTTTT